GCGGTGTATTTCGGCTAACCATCCAGACCATAACATCAATGTTAATGGCTGGAAAATTCCGCGCAATATTGAATTGGCGGATCCAGACTTGGATAAACTAAAAGACGTCAACTAATTTGATAGTCCAAAAATTTTGGGCTCTAGAAGAATTACCTTCAGAAACAAATATCATCAAATTCATACCAAAGCAATTAGAGTGTGAGATTTTTTACGTTAATACTACTCAAATGTTTCCTTCAGGACGGCTTAAAGTCAGAATGCCCTTTAAAGCTGATCGTAAATTACTCGGTCACTCATATGAAACTGCAGTTCGGCGTAGTATTCGGATGGTAGGTCCAACCATCCAGGAAGAATTGTACTCAACTCTTCTTCGTTTCCGCTTACATAAGATCGCTTTAACGGCAGACATTACTAAAATGTACCGCCAAATAATTATGCATAAAGAAGACAGAAACTGTCAGCTTATTGTGTGGAGAGAGCATCCCTCAGAGCAAACTCAAAGTTTTCGACTTAACACCGTCACCTATGGCCCTGCGCCTGCACTATTTCTCGCAGCAGGGTGTTTACAAATGCTCACCGATGATAATACAACTAAGTACCCACTCGGTTCATTGGCCATTAAAAGAAACTTTTATGTTGATGACTTAGTAACAGGATCTGAAAATTTTAAGTCTCTAGATCTTATAAGAAGTGAGGTAATTAAAATATTAAACTCGGATGCATTCACCTTAACGAAGTGGTTTTCAAACCACCCTTAATTTTTCGACAGTGACTGCACTGAAAAGTCAATAAGCTTCAATGGGAAAAACTCCAATAAAACACTAGGAATCCATTGGTGGCCGAAAAAGGATTTGTTTCAATTTGTTTTGGATGCCAGTTTTACTGATCTGCGAGCCACCAAACGAAATATATTGTCAGTCTCTGCTCGCCTTTTCAATCCTCTTGGATTATGAGCCCCACTAGTCACCACAACAAAAATCTTATTGCAAGAGCTTTGGATCCAAAAACTAGATTGCGATGAGTCGATTCCATTGCGCCTTGACACTAGCTGGCATAATTTCAAAGCCAATTATGGCATATATCTATAAAATAATAACGATTGTCGAGCTTGACCATCATGTAAGCACTGTTTCGAACCATTTAAATAAGGCTGGTATGTCAAGCGAAAAGGTCGACGTCAATTCGTGGTGACCAAGCCATGAGTGGCATTCAGGAAAGCTTAGCTGTGCATTTAGTGGGATTGGTAGAGAACCATATGTATCAAACTACTTCCCTACGGCCATTCGGATCTGTACTGTTAGCAATTGTACCGGCTAATCGAAGACCAGCTTTGGCCAATAATAGAGCAATTGTGTTCCATCAGGAAAACGCCAGGCCACACACATCGATAGTCATCACTAGAAGCTTCGGGAGCTTGGTAGGGATGTTGCTATCCATCCACCGTAGAGTCGGGACTTGACGCCAATTCATTACTACCTCCTTCTGTTTTTGGTGAAAAATACGTCTCAAGAAAAGTTTTGAAAATCGACTGTGACAGGTTCACTATAAAATTACTTTAAAAATGACAAAAAGTTATCCAACAAACCGTGCATATTTCACTTAAATCATCATTCTAACTATGGCAAATTAATCATTAATTTAATGAAAAAGTAATGGAATTCTCTTAAGTTGACCCTTTAAAATATTTATGAGAATCACATACTTATCCATATATTTGAAATATTCTATTTACACGATTTCCCAAGACCCTACACGTTGTTTATAGCTCTCCCATATAAGATAAAAATGTATTTCTTTATTTATACACTTCAACAGCATTTCTCGCTGCTGATTATTTTGAAGTCTTGCACCTAAGACTAGAGACCAAATCACCCAAGGGTACATGGATTTTTTGATGGTCGAGCTTATCTCGTACAATAAACGTTTTTTGATTCTAAACGGAAAATAAAAATACAACTTTGACGATTTTTCGTAGTTCGAAAACTTCGAAAGTTACTGCTATTAATATGTTTTTTTACAATCATGGAAAATATATATTTGCTCTTAACACACCAAACCGTTTTCGTTTATATTCAGTACGATTATGAGCGAAAATGTTCCTCTTTCATTTTATATTACTAATTTTTACAAAAAACAATGTTTGTAAAAAATACAAACAATTTTCCCGAACAAACCCAATTAAAGTAGCTTCTAATTAAGCATTAATTTGAAGACGTGAACATATTTATTACTATTCGGCAAATGAAAAACACTGATAACTTTTGATCAAGTTAAATAAGAAATAATACGCTAGCAAACTTTTTTAAGCGATTGAAAAGTTGACTTTGATTGAATTTGTTTAATAAAAGGGTTTGTATTTTTTACAAACATTGGTTTTGTAAAAATTAGTAATATCAAATGAAAGAGGACATTTTCACTCATATTGGTACTGAATATAAGCGAAATCGATTTGGTGTGTTGAGAGAAAATAAATATTTTCCAAGATCGTTCAAAGAAATATTAATAACAATAACTTTCGAAATTTTTAGACCTTCCAAAAGTCGTCAAAGTTGTATATTTTATTTATCGTTTAGAACCATAAGACGTTTATTGTACGCGAAGAGCTCGACTATGGAAAAAGGCAGGTAAACTTGGGAGATTTCGTCTTACTACTATTTTTATGAGATTGTTAACTCGTTTAGCAATCTCGTTTTACAAATCCTAATGTATTAATGAGAACTGAACGTACTTTTTTGACTCAAAATACAATTATATGGACTTTAATATTTTATCTTTTTGTGATACTTTGTATCTTAAGAAATATTAACACATGGTAATGGGTTTATTTAAGATGATGGGATTAGTTAAATGCTGGATGTCTGTCTGTTGGTATGTTTAAAGCATCAATTAAACTAATTTGATGCATTATCTGGACATTTGAATGTTGTAGTGTGAAAATTAGCGAAGTCAAACCACATCCACGCCTACTTTTCATATAACACAATTTTAAATGCCTTCTGATTCTTTCACTGTGCAAAATATAAATCATACACCAATGCAGATATTGGGATGAAACTGTGTGCAAATACTGTCTTTAAGGTAAACAATCTTTCATCTAAAAAAAAAAAAAGAAATTGTACTAAACTTTCTAAGCCTCAATACATCACTATGAGGTATCTATGCTGATTTTTTTCTGAAAATATCGGTCCGTCTTTGAGAAAAGTATCCGTACCTGATTATATAGTATTCTGGTGCCATAATAGGTTAAAATCAGATCAATAACTCCCCCATATGCCTTACCTAAAGATTTTCTAACTTCCGGCTGACTTTACCTATACCGTATGCATCGATGAATGTTAGATATTCTAATAAAATTCAGAAAACACATTTTCCTACTAATAATATGACCTCGTGCCCAAAATGGCTAAAATAAGGTAAATACTTAACTTAACTCCCGTTTACCTAATGTAAGGATTTTAAAACAATCGATTGATTTTATACCGATTATCCTAATTTCTATGAACTACACATAATTATTATTGTTATTTTAGTGAGCTCTACTGAGAAGTACATCGGTAAATTTTTTAGTTATCTAAATAAAATGTGTTGCATTATCACAGCTTAATGCCAAAATAAATGCAATCAATTTAGAGCTACCCCTAAGCCCATCATAGCCGATATGAGGATTTACAACTTTAGGTCAGCATGTGGGATACTTTACCAAAATGACGTAAATAGTATGATTTAGCGTTGAGTATGAACGAAATTAGTCTTGACCTTGGTCCAAGCCCCATTCTACTAATATATATATAATGATTTACGACGCTCTAGTTGACTTTTTCGTCATATACCCATTATCTTAAATTTTATCCATTTCATTTAGTTCATATCGATATATCTCAATCTTTATATAACTATCTTATGTCATTCGCTTAAAAAAAATATTATAGTTATTTGACCTTCCAGTAGTTGTTAGTTAGATTGGTTGTTTTATAAGAACAAAATATAGGAAATATTCTAAATACTAGCATAAGAAAATTAGAACTAAATATGATCTTTTCTTGGTGTACTGTAGACGGAAACTACTAACCTATTACCATTGCCAGGAGGTTCTGTTTTCACTCGAAGCAATTTATAATTATGATATTAAAAATATTAGAAGCTATGTACATTTAACCACATTTACAATTCTTTCCTCCTAAATCAAATTATAAACATCATTACTATATAATTACTTGATTTTCGGTAAAAAACTCTTGATATTTAGTCTTTATAACTTTCAATATTTCGAAATATTAATTTAATCCAAAAGGCTTTAATGAATTAAGATTTTGCCAAAGCCTATATATACGCAATATAATGATTTTCATATCATGAAAAATATTACGGTAGATGGTTGAATTCCTCATTAAACTGGGAAAATGGAGCACTGAGCTTCTCATTCAAAGCGTTTTTTGCAAAATATTTGCTAAAGGAACGTTTCATTGCAAATTTTCAATTTAAAAAAAGCGATTTTTGGCGTAATTTAGGCATATTCATACAGATCTGCGCTAAACATAAAATTTGTAACACCTAAAAGGAAACGTCGGAAAATATACTTATGTAAATTATCACTGTGACGAGCTGAGGTGATTTAGCCATACCAAACTGACTGATCAAAATTAAGTCCATGTACGCAAACCTTTTTTATTTGTCAAATGATCTTCCCGAAATCGGACATGGATTATTATCCAAGGCAACGCTACGTTCTTTGAACAAATATGAATATATAAAGCCATACAAACTGACCGATCAAAATCAAGATAAAGATCTTTTTTTTATTAAGTAACTATAATTCGCATTGAAGGTTGGTTATATCAAACAACGTGTATAGAAAGAACTGTTAAAACATTTTCTGTTGGATGGAAACCGTTGGCCATTTCTACGGTTTCAGATTTACCATAGTTTTATTCTTCGAATTTGTTAAACACAAGTCTATTCTTTTCCATTATTATTTTTAGTTTAGTTATTAATTATGTTTTGTATCATTCAAGAAAAAGTAGGTATCGTTAAATAAGTAGTTTTTCATGTGTATATGAATGTTTGTACAACTTAATTTTTATACCCTTCGAAAGTTTGTACTTGTAAATATTATGAGCGACACTATCTGACAGCTTGTTTAAACTATAATAATTTGTAAAAGAAATGAACGTGATTCTATAACAAAAGCAGTATGGCAACACTTTTTCATCCCTTATATTCCTCAAAAAACTCAAAGGTTAGAGAGCCATTGAGGGTGTTTTAATTTATGTATGTGATAATAATAAACACCTGCGACAGTATTTCAACATTTGCAGATATTACAAATTCATTAATAAGCAAATTAAGTGTTAAATGTATTCAAGTTATAATTTATTTTGATTAAGAAACTGCATTTCTGGAAATTAAAAACCATGCAACAGAAAAGCCGAAAATGAAGACAGGTAACTTATTTATGTCATATGTATACGTGTTCGACCTATTTGCATATCTTATATATTACATATGCTTGACTGGTAATTTATTTATGCTACATACGTGTTCGACTTAATTATATATTTTAACTATTCCACATGCTATTTCGCGTCAATCATATCTGTAGAATTAACCATTTCATTGTATTAAAATAGTAAAAATTTACAAATATCGATAAATTTTAAATATAATACATACTATAAATTAAAGGTCTGACTACAAAATACTACTGGTTAAACATAGATGGATAAAACAATCGCATACTTAGCTTCACTATATGATGATATTACTAGTTCTATTATAATCTCTGTAGAATTATATCATCATATAGTGAAGCTAAGTATGAGATTGTTGTATTAGAATTAAGAAATGAATTTCTTTAGCTATGTCCACTGATCCTCTGTGCTTTAAATATGCTAAGTAAATCATTGAGTGCTCTTGACAGGTATAACAACGGGGGACGTCGGGAATAGTTTGATCATCTACCAATACGGCCCATTAAAAATAGCAAACATGTACTATTGTAATTTAATGAAAAAGTCGTGAAAAGTGATGTCGGTATATCTTTTCTGTCGTTAATATATTGTTTCTACCGGACCGATCATCAGCCTGTGCCAGCGATACCTTCAGTAAAAATTTAGTTATATTTCTGAGGATGTGCATATTGTAAACAAAATTTGAGCCAAATCGAATACATAACAATACCATTATATCGATATGTTTACAGTTTAAAAATTAACGAACTCGGATTATACGAGGGTTGCCTCTTATATTTCAGGATTAGGGAACAAAAACAATTATTAATCATCGAAAATCGTTTTATTGTTTTTCAAAATATTTTCTATTAAGATCTATACACTTTGGCATGTAACAAAACATGCGTTCTGAACGCATCAATCGCCCCTTCAGGTGGCTTAGTTAATTTTTTTACGTTTGGAAATAGAAAGGAGCAATTTGGTGCCAAGTCAGGACTATACGGTGGATAACTCATCAAATTTATTCGGGAGATCTGGAAACACCCAAACAGTAAACTGCTGTTTATTTTCGGGCTCATACGCGTAAATCGACGATTTATCACCTGTCATGATATCATAGACGAAGCCGAAGTTCGAAGCACCGCTATCGTATTTTTTTAACATTCCTTTCTACCAATCGACACGAAGCTTTTTTTTTTTGATCGATTTACAAATTGTGTGGGATCCAACATGAACAAATTTTTTTTCAATAAAATGTTCATGCAATATTGAATATATGCTGCTCCTACTAATTCCTATAGTTGCCTCAATCTTAAGATAGTTCGCAACACGATCTTGCAATATCAGTTTGCGCACAGTATCCAAAGTTTCCGGAAATAGAACTGATTGACATTCGTCTTGGAGTGATCTACGACCCCGATTGAATTCACCATACCATTGATAAACACTAGTCCCTGATGGAGCTTCATCGTCAGAAATTGAATTAAGTTCATCGATGCGATTTAAGTTTACTGTTACAACACAAATAGCGCTCGTATGTCAAAACGTTCTGGGAATGTATAACATCAAAAATGATTACAGTTTTAAGTTGCCAGATTGCAACACTAGGGTTGACAAATTTCTAAATATAAAAGTCAACCTACGTATGACCTTTTATTTAAATTCTTTCTCTTTAAAACAGATAAATCAAGCACCAATGAATATATCGCAAAACAATAAATGAATAGGTACTGTTTTACTATCGGGTTGATTTGTGGTAATGAGATTCTAATCATTGAAAAATAGGAAAACCGGTAAAATGGATTTTTGAAACCAGTAATATATAATATCTGCATTGTTAGCTTTTGTGAAAAACTCAACTACCATTCTAAGGTTAGTCAGTACATTGACGTTTTTACTCAACTTTTTTGAGTTTGTCTATCTTTCTAAAGCTTTTTCTCTTGTTACATTTGCATAGCTAATGTTTTTATTATAGTTGTTGTTCAGCATTGAAACTATTAGCTAATATGAGTATTTCCCTATTATTCATCGAGTTCTTTTTACATAACAACGCCTGATAATTTTACAACCTTTGTAATTAATAGTACGATTTTGAAGACAGAGGAAGCATATTGATGAATTTTCTTTATTTGCAAAGAGACATATTGGGGTTTATCACACAACTCTTCTAAAAAGATTTTATAGTATTGCTTTATTTGGCTAAATACTTGACAGCTATGATATTGTAATCGTTAAATTTAACTGAGTTATGCTCATTTTTAGCTAAGTGACGTTTAATATCATCGAGAGGAGTTAAAAAAAAACTATTATGCTATAATCTCATTTTCTTTTAATTGGCATGTACGAAAAACCAAGCTCTTGGGATCTGAGTAGCTCAAAAGTTTTCTGTGCTACCGTTGTTATGTTGGCGTTACATGAGCTGCGTCTATTTCATTACTATAGTATGTTTTTACAAGTATACTTTTGGGACATGTTGTTACAGAGTATAATAGTTTTGTTCACCTAACGGTTGTTTGTATCACCTAAAACTAATCGAGATAGATATAGGGTTATGTATATATAAATGATCAGGATGACGAGAGGAGTTGAAATCAGGCTGGAACTAACAAAAATGATGCCACAAGTATTGAAAAATCATGGGAGAACTACAGAAAATAAATCACAGCATGGCGAAAAATAACGAAGAAATTATAACACGGAGTTTAAAAAAGAAATTGTTGAGCTGAAGAAAAACATTGAGGACAAAGATAAAAAGTGGGAGGCAGAAAAAAACCTTTTGTGGGAACACATTGGCCTGATAGTAGAGAAAATTAAACAAGTAAGGAAGGGCTAAATTCGGATGTAACCGAACTATTTATACTTTCGCAAAGTCAAATGGTATACTCGTTTTAGATTTCTTTGCGATTCTTGCCGCCTTGTTCTATGTTGACCGATATTTTCGGTAAAAAGTCAACTATAGGCACTGGGGTCCACATATTCAGTATTTAGGGGCTTGAACAGTTTTGGTTTAATTTAGATAAATTTTGGTCACAAGCTGGCATAATTTAAACGTATTATTCACGCAAAGTTTTACGCCGATATAATCATTGTTGCTTGACTTGCATACTGGAAAGTGAAAAAATCAGCATAACATACAACTATAAGAGGAATATTATGTACCGAATTTATTTGAAATCGGTTAAGCGGATCCCAAGATATAGCCTTTCACCTAAATGTGGGCGGGGCCACTCCCACTGTCTAATTTTGAACGCGATTACTTTAAGGTCATCTCATACCATCCCAGAGAAAAAATGTATTGTCTCTGGCGTGTTAAGTGCTTGATATATCGCGCTTTTAGAATTTTTGAACAGTACCGTTATATGGGGAGTGGGTGGAGTTAACACCCGATTTCACCTATTTTCACACTGTCGATAGATGTGGTAAAAATATTTGTTCCCAGTGAGTTTTGTTATTATAGCTTTAGTGGTATAGGAGATATGCACATTAAACTTATTAAGAGGCGGGACCACACGCACTTTAATAAAACAAAATTTAAACTGCAGATGCCCCTCCCTTATGTGATCCTGTGTACCAAATAAGAGTCTTGTATCTTGTTGTGGAGCTCAGTTATGGCAATTTATTTGTTTTTGATTAATGGCGCTTTGTGGGCATGACAGTGGTCCGATTACATCCTTCTGCAATATTACCCGTCTTACGGTACCTAGAAACATGTGTGCCAAGTTTCATAAATATCTCAATTTACAGCTTGACCAGACGGACGGACGGGCAGACAGTCACCTGGATTTCAACTCATCTCTTCATCCATGAATTTACATATATATAACCCTATATCTAACTCGATTAGTTTTAGGTGATACAAACAACCGTTCACAGATGATGATCCGAAGCAAACCACTATAAGGTTTATAGAAGAAAAGTTTAGAGTGAAGGTAGATGCTGAGGGTGGGTACAAGGTAAAGATAACAAATAAGGAAGTTCTTAGTTCGGGTGTAACCGAACATTTTATACTCTCGCAACTTGCAAGGATAAAAGCCTGGGAAATTGCTTCAGGTATTTGTATTAAAGGAAGTATTGATCCGATTCAACCCATTTTTGACACAAAACATACTATAAACGAGAGTTTCATTTATTTATTTCATTTTAGGAATTTCAGTTATATATCTTACACATTAACCGATATTTTCGGTAAAAGTTCAACTATAAGTACTGGGGTGCACGTACCCAGAGACTTGATATGTTTAGGTTCGATTTAGACAATTTTTGGTCACTAGGTGGCACACTTTAAACGTATTATTCACGCAAAGTTTTACCCTGATACAATCATTGTTGCTTGATTTACATAGTGGAAAGTGAAAGAATCAGATGGAATTTAAAATGGTGTTATATAGGAAATAGGCGTGGTTGTAATCTGATTTCGCCCATTTTGCACTCTAACATAAAAATATGAGAGGAAGGTTATGTACTGAATTTGGTTGAAATCGGCTAAGCATAATAAGATTATGAGGTAACATGTATCTTAGTCCTGTTTCTAGGCTTTGGTGGCTGAAATAAATAAATAATAATAGTTGAAATCCGGACCTCTGTCTCCCCGTCCGTCTGCCTGTGCTAGTTATAACTAGTTATATTGAGATATCGTAATGAAACTTGGTACACGTGCTTTTGTAAGGACGAGATCGTTGATGTGCATTATGAAACCTATTAAGTGCCACTACTAAGCACAACTTAATATATAGAAGTTAATTTATCATAGGGATCGCAGTAGCAGGGGCACCTTTGGAATAAATTTTTAAAATGGGCGTGGCCTGCTCTAAAAGGTTTATTATATACACTCCCAACCCATTCAACTAAAATAACCAAATTCGCTCAGGATGAATGTGTTAAGCACCCCTACCGACACTGTAAAAATGGATGAAATCTGATGATAACTACTTAAAGCTTGCTTAGTTAATGACTAAATACGTCGGACACATTAAGTTTTACCCATGGTATGAGAGGACTTTATGGCAGCCACGGTCGAAATTTAACGATGGGCGTTGCACCACTTACTTTAAGGTGAAACCACATATCTCGGGATTAAACCAAATTCGGTATATAACATTCTTCTGATATTCTTATGTTACAGTGTGAAAATGGGAAAATAATACAATATCAAATTCCATCAGATCCCTTTACTTTACTGTATGCAAATCAAGCACCAATAAATGTATCGGGATAAAACTTTTCACGAATAATTCCTTTAAAGTATGCCACTTTGTGACCACGCATTAGACAAATCGTTCAAGCAATCGTTCAAGCCTCTAGGTACCGAATATATGGAACCTTGTACCTATAGTTGACTTTCTATGCATTCTGTATGCCAAAAATTAGTTGAATCGGGTCAATATTTCCCTTACGCGCATATACATAATATAAAGATTTTTAATTTCCGGGTGACTTTATACCGCATATAGCGGCCAATATGTGAGTTATCTCAGTGAAAATGAGAGAATTTTACTCATAACAGTGTATCTTTGTTATTGTAGGGCCTACAAAGATAAAATTGGGTGAAAACTTGACCTATCCCCATATAACTAATATCAAGATTTCCGAACATCAGGCAGACTTTACTTCATATGATTTGTGATGGTATTTGAGGTATCTTAATGAAACTGTGAGAACATTTTATTAGTCTGCGGGTGTTAGTAGTATGTGGTATTGGCAACAATTGATAAAATCGGTTCAATCTGCCCCAACTCCCATATACTACTTATAATAATTTTC